ATTTAACCTGTTCTAACTTCTAACTAGTACTAGTACCATGGTTTATAAATGTGAATAGATTCAATTATATTGGACTTCTTGTCAAGGAGTTACCTAGGGATTAAAAAATATTATTTACGGGACTGTCTCGTAATTTCAAGTAACCCCTGATTCTTAGAGGGCATGTTAGATTCACAATATACCCTTTTCTGATTATTGATGTTGAAAATCACGTATTTGGTTCTGATAATTAAATTTTAAGCTATCAATCAAATTGGCATGTCTCTCCCCGCTAAACCTTAGACTTTTTAACTACGGTCTGAGTGATATTAGTTGGATAATTGGTTAGACATGTTTTATAAGGTAGTTAGTTTGATTATTAGTTAAATGGTATCTATATTTAGACATTTAGTTTGATTGCTAGTTGATAGTTGGTAAATTAACAGTTAGATGTTTAGTTAGATGATTACTTATATAGTTTGTAAGATTGTTACCTAGATAGTTAGTTAAATAGCTAGTACATGAACATTTAAAAAATTTGTTAGAAAGTTGATAGTTTGCTAAATAGTTAGTCTGATAGTTTTTTTGTTGATAGTTTGATAGTTAGTTTGATAGTTAGTTTGATAGTTAATTTGATAGATAGTTTGATAGTTAGTTTGATAGGTAATTTGATAGCTAGTTTGATAGTTAATTTGATAGCTAGTTTGATAGTTAATTTGATAGTTAATTCGATAGTTAGTTTAATAGTTAGATGGGTTTTCTTGCCTTCAAGCATTGCTTTAATTTTACAACAATAGCGTGTTAACTAGTGCAAACATTAACTATATATCGCAGGGTAGATGATAGATAGATAGACAGATACAGAGATTTTTAATATAAGCATTTTAAACCCTCTCCCCTGAAGAAAGAAACCCCTGCCCTTTATTAAATTATATATCCTGATACACCTGCAGAACTGAAAACGCAGTTAAAGTGTGGGTGGGCATTTTTCTTCGTCACCCTTTATCTGGTTAATGGTGCATATATTGGTTACCGCCCTGTATAAATTGATTAAGAGATATTGTTCTTGAATCTATGGTGTACTCGAAGACCACCCTGATATTCAGGGTTGCTTCAACCACAAAATATTCAATTTTACTTTTAAAAATGTTTAATCTTTTGATCAATTTCTCAGGGATGAAGAAAAAAATAAATAGCTATGTTGTGAAAACTTTCTGGATTTTCTTTTGTGAATTATAGACCTGTATTTGAACCACGGGATAGAGTTCATCTTAGGTTCAAATCTTGCTCAGTTTACAACCCTTCCTGGAGAATAGTTTTCAACTTGCATACTCGTTAAAATCTTTATCAAGTCATTTATTTTAATTATTATTCTTGCCAACGATTATCAAACCAAAACCAAATTCTAATTTTTTTTTCATTAACATACTTTCTTTTGAACTTTCTAATTTTTCAATTTAATGATTTTTTCATTCTGTTTTATTTTCTAATCTCTTGTATCTCGTATCCGTATTTTTTCTTCTTTATCTCAAAAAGTTAAAATAAAATATCTTGAAGGGACTATTGACGATATTTACAAGGACCCGCTATGTCCGAATCACAATGGTATAACCTTTACATTTTTGTCTGAGCAAGTGATGGAATTTTTTTGTTGTACCTGAACATTTTTAGTTGCAGTATTTTATAAAAGTGAATTCTGAAATTATATCTTATCTATTTAAATGTTGACCCTGACTGGCCATTACGGTCAGTTTTGATTTTACCTGTAAATAAAAACAATTAGTAATAGTTTAACCTTTGTGTTATACGGACGAATACATAGCCTTGAGTTTTGGCTAGAGTTTGATAGCCTTGAGTTTTGGCTAGAGATAGAGTCAGTGAGACTAGAATTAGACGTTGATTAGAGTAATCTCGGGACCTAGATTTATTACAGAAAGACCAAGGGTACTGTTTTAATCTGGCATGTAGTACTGAGAGAATCACATCAAATTACGGCAATATGCTCTTTAGATTAATCTGAGAGAATCACATCAAATTACGTCAATATGCTCTTTAGATTAAACTTTTTTATTAAAAAAGGTAAATATGGAATGAATTTCTTTTGTAATATTTCATCAAAGGAAATTTAATTAGTCTTTTTTCACTTCTGCTTATTTTATGATTTCCTTTAATACTTTTCTTTTAAGAATATTCTAAAACGTCAACATTGATAACGTTATTAGAACTTATCGCGAGGGAAAATAATCTATATATTTTTCTATAAACTTCAAGTTGGATTCAAAGTGTATTATCTATCAATGAGTTGTTGTAAATAATGTTTGACAGATTAGCATAGTTAGTCATGTACAGGATATTTAGCATATCTCAGATACAGGGGGAGGGGAATGTATGCAATCAAGGGGAAAATATAAAAATAATTGAACAGAAAAATGCATCACTGTTTTGAAACTGATTTTAATTTATACATTTTATGGTATTCCAAATTTCCAATGACATCACTCTGTACACACAAACATATTACAGGACCACCCTGCACACACAAACATATTCCAGGATCACCCTGTATAGTATATATGCTACATATACTTCTAAATATTTCAAGAACTGTAAGATAAATTAAGTTTTAAATACATTGCAACAATTATCTGCCGGTCAACATGTCAGCTACAGGGTTACCCACAAAAGATGAGAATTAAATAACGATCTGAAACTCAAGAACTAATATAATTATAATTACTTACAACTACTTTACAGGGAAGTTAAGGGAAGTTTACTTTACTAAGGGTTCCCAAGACCTAAATTGGTCCAGAGATTCCGTGATTAAATGTTGCGAAGAAATTACATCAAGAAAAAGTGGACAGAAAACCCTGAAACAAGATGGAAAAATCTTCACAATCTTTTCTGAATTTTGTCCTTTGTGGGTAACCCTGTTTTCTTAAAACTCAGCTTTTTCTATGGCAATTAAGGTGCACGGCAATATTTAAAAGGTACAGAATTAAGGGAGTAGGAAATTATAATAGAATATTCTTTTGTGGATTTTTTTCAGAATTTTTATTTTCACTCAATTGACCCCTAACAAATTATAACAAACAATATCGGAAAAAAAACTTAAAAAGTTTCGAACACATTAATTTAACCTTTTAAGTCTCTCAAATATAGCAGCGCGGAAGCAAAATTTCATTTTACTAAATCTAAAGGGTAATCTTTGAGAACAAAATTTATTCAAAATACAAATGAAGAGAAAAATTAGTTTTAATTGACGCCATAAGAACGTTATATTACGAAGCAGTGAATCAGCTAAAATAAAATTAATTAGTTAAAAAGTTTGAGAATATTGCTTTTACAATTAAATCTTCTTTTTTGATCAGATATCAACCATTGTCAGTTTTGGATAAATGGGCAAAATATAAAGTTTTAATCAGCTTATTACAGAAATTTCTCATTCTCCTCTTTCCTTCTTTAAAAGTACCTCCCCCTAGTTTTTCTAAAGTCTTCAAACCCCCTCCCCCCAACAAATCTTTGTTATGTCTCTACCTCTAGGTTCACGGAGTAAAGAACTAAGATCAGATCCTCCCTAACCTTTTACTCCAACAATAGCATTTATACACAATGCAGTAGAGACAAGATATAGGAGTACAGGAATACAGGAATACAGGAATACAGGAATACAGGAATACAGGAATACAGGAATACAGGAATACAGGAATACAGGAATAGTAAAGGAATAACACAAATATTCTAAATTCATGCATGATAATGTTTTTAACAAGAACCGCTTATTTAACCTTTTGTTTATGTTAGGACATCCTGAACCTAAGAGATCACTTAGGTTAAATGTCAATAATAGGTCTTCCCTAGCAAATTTATTATATTATACGACTGACACAGTCCTCAAATTTTAAAATGCTCACGTTGGATATCGAGATCAAGAGTTTAACTCTACTTGCCCTGGGGGGGGGGGTTCAATTTGACCCCCCCCCCACAAACTTTTCTAACAAACACATGCCAATCACTTAAGGCTAAAAGCTGAGCTTTTATACCTTGAGTGCTTAGGCAATACTGCCTATATGCCTTCTTTTACTTATACTAGACTAAATCTATATTTAGACCTACTTCCAGTCATTGGATTTCAACATTTTATAGCTCTTTGGAAAGCCTATAACAGCAGCAACCAGATTAAACAATTTTTGCAAAGAAATTTTGCACAGATTTCTTTCTTCACATTTTGGCTTCATAACTAGATTTTGCAATAAATATTTGGATTATTGCAAAGAAAATTAGTCTTTGCAACATTCTCTCATATTCTAGTTCCTATATCTTTGCAACCCAATGTCGTAGAACTTAGAAATTTCAAACTATGAATTCTGATAGATCTAATAATCTAAGTTTGAAATATCTAAGATGTTCACTTTAAGGATTCTAAAATGTTGGAGTTAGAAACATTGAGTTTGTTGCAAAAACTCAAATCCTTTGCCATTTTTTTCGCAGAATATTGAAGTAGAGTTCAAGGGCTTTCCAAAAACGTATCAATTCTTATAGATTCGTATCACAATAAGAAAATAGCGAGGGGGGGGGGAGTAATTTGACCAGGCGTCAGGGTAAATAGGGTTAAGATTAAAAACATCCACTCAGCTCTTTCGATCTCTAGCTGTATTACAGATTAAGGAACCTTGTATGATAAAAAAATGAAATTGTAAATTAAAAAAAGGGATTGAAAGTGACGACTCACTGACTATTAAACCGAATGAAAAACTAATATACTGCTTTTCCATTATTTGTTGTGTATCTTAAAGGGTTTGTCCGTTAAAGATTTTATGATTTCTGTATTTATAGGTTTTGTAATTATTGGTTTTGTTATGTATGTTCAGTGTTCACTAACTGAACTACCATCAACGGTAAACGAAGCATTGGTTGGAATATACACGCGAGAATAAAAAATAGAAAAATAAGAATTTTTCGGTCAATTGCATATAAATAGAATTCAATATAAGTTGTGTGTTTTTATTAAAGCTTGAATTTACCTGTAACAACAGTTAAAAGTATCCTGTAGAAGACGTACTTCATTTTTTATGTCAAACCTCCTTTTCACACACTTTTCCGTTGGTTTTCTTTTACTAGAATCACAGCAGGTTGTTTTTCTTCCTAGCATTAGGACTGAGCATAGTGTATTGTATACTGGATTGAAGACTACTGCAGTCCTAACATATCTCTAATTTTGTCGGACGGAGAGAATCGGGAAGGAGGGAGAGAGAGAGGGGGAAACTGAGAAGAGAGAGAGAGGATGGGGGTATCCCCAGACCTATGGTGGTTTCTAAATAATCACACAACCTCTCGCACACTTCCGGGTTGGTGCTGAGAAATCAGAGCTGGAAGAAACGGACTCAACAATTTCTGATCGAGTTGTTTTACTTAATTCTTAAATATAGAGTAGTTCTATCCCAGATCTTTAATAAAACTCCAAATAAACAGCAATCACCCCCCCCCCCTACCCCCCTCCTTTAGAAGGTGGTGGGCGTCTAGAATTAAGAATCACGAGCTGTAAAGTATATAGGATGGGGCCAATTTTGGATTTAAAACCATCAAGAGGAAAAACTTTAATCCAGATTTACTTTTCTTCAGATTGTTATAAAATGTGCCATGGGGTTATACAAATTACATTAAGCAACATTCAGAAAGACCCGGAATTAATTGACAGGTAATCAGTCGACTTTACATATATATCTCTGGCAATTAAAAATGCTTTAAAAAAGGCAGACCACATTTTGGAAATGGCAGGACTACGGCTATTTTGTGATTATCGTTTCATCAATCATATTTTAAAAATTAGATTGTAATGTCATCTGATTAATTGTATAATTAATTCCGGGTCTTTCTTATCCGGACTGTGTGAATGCATTTAGGCATTGAGTTTTGAAAACTAGAAATTAGTGTGGATATTACTAAGTATTGAAATGGCTAAAATTGTCTCAAATTTTAAACTTTTCATATTTTCAAATTTTGGCTGGTTATTTAATCTAGTAAAATTAATAATTTATTTTATAGTTACTACATTTAAAAACGTCTGAATATAGATTTAGTGGATACAGTATAATAAGAGGTATGACACTTTAAAACCATTTTTCCCTATACTAAAGCATATTTTTCATATTTTCCAAAATGAATTCTGTATTTATATTATGTATATATATATAAGACTGAAACTAGGTTGAGGATTTCTGCAAACAAACCTAATTCTGTTTTTCTATTTTCTATTTTCTATTCAAAAATAGAATTGAAATAAAGTTTTCCAACCTAGTTATTACGACCTTGTTTGCATGCATGTACCCACTGTCAGCAAAACAAAGGATGTCACTGAGAGGGGGGGGGGTAGAGGGGCAGGAACGTAGTCGTAGGGAAAGGGGGCCGTTAGAAATGGGGGGGGCATTACTATTTTGATAAAAAATGTAACATTATTTTTTACTTGTATTGAAAATAATAATGACAAAAATTATTTTTTTAAGATAAAGTTACTCTTGTGCGAAGAAAGTATCAATTGACAATATATTTGTGTAAAGTTGTTAAGTAACAGAAATATAAGTTTCAAAGACTATTGACTATGGTCTGTAATTAGGGAAAGTTTTTTTTACATAATGAGGTTGCAATCAACATAGTTGGTAGACAGCATTCAACCACAGGCGCTACTGGTTTCAAAAATGGAGGGCAAATTAAATAATAGTGTCATTCATGGTATCATAAACAAACAAAATTATTGTTTCATAATATGTAATGAATTTTTTTTAATTCCCTAAAAAAATATATATATAAAACTATATTATATA